TGATGTGTGCGCGCGTGTCTTATTTTATTTTCTGTGACGTTTTAAAAAAATAATGATGGATGTTGAATTATTTCTCCCTTTATATTCTTTTATTAATAACTGAATTTTAGAGATTTATTTATTTTCGATGTAAAACTAATATGAAAAAATTTGAAAGGAGGACTAAATTAATCATTTACTTATTCAAGCGTGTTTCAAATAAGATTATATCTACAAAATTGTTGTTGCATTGTCTTTGTTTCTGATGACGGAAATTGACCGAGTACAGAGATAAAAATAATCAAATATTAATGCAAAAAAAAAAACATTAAAAATAATACAAATTTCTTTTGAAATTTTTTTCTGCAGTATCGCGAGAAAAAAAATCCTAAAACTCAACGTATTTTAATTCAACCATGTAAACATAGGAGTAAAATAATCAAAAAATTAATATTAAAATATTAAAGAAATAAATAAAATCAAATTAATATATTTAAATTTTGATAATTTATTTTAATAGAATTTAACTAGAGTTTACATTTTTAAAATTTTGTTAACTAAATTACTTTCAAAATTTTATTTTATAAATTATGTTCCTACTAATTAGATGGCAAAAGTATCCATTTCCGTAGTTATTTGCGGATAAAATTTGTAAGAATTGAGAAAAATTTAATAATTAGGAAATAAAGTGGTTTTAAGATTGAGTATTATTGTTTGGTAATTTTGTGTTTGATGTTTAGGTATTTCTTAGAATTATAATTTGCTTTATTAATTATTTAATGTTATTATTACTTAATTGTAATACATGATTGGTATGTTGTTAATTTGGTGATTTGTGTGTGTGTGTGTGTGATATTACTAAAGTACTGTGTTGACCTATTGATAGAAAGGTGATTTATAATTAAACGAGTGTGGATTCAATTCTAGGAAGAGAGAGAGTTCATAAAACCTTTTTTTTTGTTTATTATTTTGCCTAGAGGGAAAATAATCTTTACACTTTATTAATTGGTGTATAAATTAAATAACGGGGTGTAGGAAGTAAAAACATGCAATTTAAATTAAATAAAATAAAAGAGATAAGTGCTCAACGTGGGAGAGAAAAAAAATAGAGATTTGGATTTAAAAATATGTTATTTTAAGTGAGGGAATATTAGAAAATAAGATTTGGGTGATTTATAAATACTAATATATAGGAAAAAGGGAGCATTTGTTAAAAAACTCTAGAAACCTGCATCAAATGAAAAAGAGAGAGTTAGGGAGAGAGAAACGTTTTCTAGAAGGGAGGCAAAGGAGCTGCAGAAAACATTAATGTAAGGAGAGGTTTGTGGTGTTTTTGGAGTATAGATAAAATCCTAGAATTGGCCAAGGTATGAGGAAACTCTTTGTTTGTTGTATGATATATGTTCTTGATTATTAAACTTTGTTTTGATGCATGTGTACATGATTATGGTTATTATCATTTGCTATTATGGTTGTGTAAGAGTTTGTGTATGCATGGGGATAGAGTTTATGTTAATATTTGTGATGAGTTTTACTTATAAATGTATGTATGATTTTTGTTGGATTATTCCATAATAGGGTTTGATACTAAGGGAAAACAAAGTTATGATATTTGGGGGTTTTACCATACAAATATATGTTATAAAAGGGTATGATAATCATATGTAGAATATTGGGTTTGTTAGGATGACTCAAGTGATGTAATGTATGTATTAGAGTTTGTTTATAAGAGTATGTGAAGCTTAAATGCATGCATGATGTATTGGGTATGTTTTCTATAACGCCCCAAATTTAGGGTGTCACGAGTTGTTACAAAAACCAATAAATTTGAAACTTTTATCATAGCGCACAAACGTACTTTTCAAACATCTCATTAATTAAACATGCATAATTTATTAAAAACATAATAGTTCCAAAATCCTTATCCAACTATATTATTCAAAAATAATGAAAATAACGAGTGAAATAAAGAACTCAAATTACATTTTCTCAAAAGCTCAAACACAATAACTTTCAAAGAAAATCTCAAGTTTGCCCTGTCATCTCTCGAATCTATCATGTCTCAACAACATTTGCAATATCATCTGCTCACGTATAACATATTATATGATCATCGTCGATAATATCATTCACAACACAAACACGAAGATGTATAGGGTAAGCTACCGATAAACAATCATAAAACAAAATACTTACATACTGATTATATTAACCATAATCAAACACCCAATACATAAAAGTATTAACCATATAATTCCTAATCCTATAACACAAAACAATTCAATCATCTTAAATTACTTGATCCTTGATCCTCGATCCTCAATGTTATCACGAATATCATAAACATAGACTAACCATCTATCCTCTCAACATCCCTTGTGCTAACTACATCACATGATACCATTACTATCATCATAACATTCCTCTATAGCATTATCGTCATTATGATCATCAACACATATACCACCATGAGCCTCCACAAAACCATAACATCTTAGTGGAAAGATTCAATCTTACTCTTGTACCCCACCTCACCCACCTGTAGCCTCCCCTACAGGCCACCTATAGCCTCCCCTACAAGCCATCTGTAATCTCCCTTACAAATCATATGTAGCCTCCCCTACAGATGTGCTCGAGTAGTCCCGCAATCCAACTAAGAAACATATATTACTGCCAAGGACAAAGAAACACCATCACCCCCACACAAGGAAGGTTCAATACCCGAACAACCCTTCCTTTGCACAAAGGCATAAGGAAGCACCTATCTCACATAAACTCAAGATTTCCGAGGTATAACAAGTAGACTTATTCCTTCACTCTTATGCTCATCAACCAAACACTCAGGTATGTCCCTACATACATTCATGCTCCAATCTCAAACACACATCAAGACTAACCCTAAGTGTAACATCCCAAATTTTGAGATGTCACAGGTTATTACAAAACCGATGAAAGTTGTCTTCCACACCAAAGTTGTCTTCCTTTTAACCAAATATTAACTTTGTTTCTAGAAGCTAGCTTTTGTTATTTATAGAGACGCCATTAATTCATATTTTCCTTACTTAGAGACCCCTCATACTCTATTTAAGGGACTCTATTTCAATGGTAATGGGATTGAATGATTTCAGTTATATACTACTTTTTCAACGACCTTGTGTGAGGAGCTCTCCTGAGAGTAAAACTTAACCTTATCTTGAGCTAAGTCTCAAGTGACAACATTTCACCACTTATCTTAAGGGTTAGTTTGCTAGGAACCCCCTTCAAGTGACGTACTATCACCTCTTCCTTTTTTCCCTTTTTATTTCCATCCTTTCTCTATTTACTAATTTCAACTAAGTTAATGTGTTTTAAAGACTACCATCTTTTGTTATTTTATTTAATTGAATTATCCTTTCTTCTAGAACTTCAATATTCACATCTAAATAACTTTATTATGAACATAGCTTTATTATGAACATCACACCATATTTATAAAATATAACAAATATAACAAGAACTTTGTTCAATTTGTTGGCTTAGGTATGTACACCAATAATTAATACGCTAAGTTTGTTTAAAAATGAACTTTGGAAAAAATAACACCTGAAAACAATAAAAAAAAAACTATATAGGCGTTTCAATTGTTAGAAAGTATAAAATAATAGAACTTTAGGAATATTAATCGCTTCAATTCTCCGTTGCATAGAGTAAAGACGGCAATGGTATAGAGCGGATGCCGGTATCGGTTTGGCTATCTCATTTATATCATCAAAGCAAAAATCCATTCTCATCACCAAGGTTATGAAACTTTTGATGTATCCCTACTCCTATCGAGAAACTAATATACCATACTTGTTTACATATCTATCTCCTTCCTATTTCAAATATTAATTAAATATTTTATTATAAAAAAAAATCACAATAAAAAGACATAAGATTAAGTATGCAATGTTAAAATTATATACATATTTTTCTCTATTATCAAATATAAAAAAATAATTATAATTATATAAGTATCAAATAAAAATCAATTACAAAGAATAGAATATTATCAAAAGTGTACATTATAAATAAGTTATAAAATTAAAGACCAAAAGAAAAATTAATAATTTTTTTAGATTATCTAATAAATTAAAAATGTCTTAATTTAAAAGAAGAACAGATGAAGACAACTACAGATATTAGGACAATGCAGAAATTTCTCATCATAGTTACGACATATTAGAATATTACTGGCACACGGATATATTCATTTAGCATTCTTATAGAAGCTTAGTAGAGTTTGGTATTGGTTCCAATCCAGTGATCAATGAAGCCTTGGTATGCAACTATTAGTTTGTTTATAGTAACTAGACACAGTGTTCTGTATCATCATCTATTCACGATGTTAGATTCAATCCATTTACCTTTCCATCATAAAAGGCACAAGGCAAATGTTCTTGCACAACATACAATTATCATGGCCAGTAAATATGACAATATTATGGCTCTGGAATTGATGTCTACTCAGTGACATGCTAATTACACAAGTACTTGGCTGCCATATATCTCTCACGGACAATAACAATATAAGAAAAGATAAATGGACTGAAAAAGCGTAAAATTACATACCTCAGAAAAAGAGAAAATAAACACATGATAGGAGAAAAAGAAGAGAAACAGATAAACGAGATAAGCAGTTAATTACATGTGACAGGTATCAGCTGGGTAAATATCATGTCTCAAATTTAATAAAATTCACTCAATTCTCCTCCAGAGTACAGAGAACAGCTTCCTAGAGAAGTTACACAGCTTCAACGTAGAGTTTAACAAGAATTATATCCGCCTTTGATTTTTACCTATGCATGCGTAACGAAAAAAAAAAGGGAATGAGAAGACGGGAGAGAAAGCTTCTTTGGGAAACCTCGTTTTAAATCCAAAATGCTACCAAATCCACCCACATTCCTACCAATTTACGTGATGCACTAACCTCCAATTTATACCTGATGCACTAACCTCAGTGAAGAATAGTTTGTAACTCAATAAATTCATTCATAAGACCATTTATACAAAGTTCTGCAGATATTTAAGAGTCGAGCCTACAGGCATAACTTCTGTTTAAGTAAGATCTCAATGAATAGAACCACAAAGATTTCATGAAAGAAATTTAATTCCCTTACATCTTCAGTAAATGTTTAAAATGTGTCATATATTACTGTAAGAATGAAAGTACATCTATCAAAGACTAAAACTATTTACAGAAACCAATGAGGGGGACAGGGAGAAAACATTGAAGACAAGTAAAAAAAATGCCATTGAACAGCAACCTTTCACCAACTAGAATCATTCGTTTTCCTTTGACATTTATATCTATAAATTTGTGTTGGAAGAGAGATCACTACCTGATCCTTGAACAAATTGCACACAACGAGTGAACTTTCCTCAAATTCTCAACATTGGACTCGGCTTGCCAATTTACCCAAGGCAAGCGTAACCCATTTAAAAGAGATTAAACCAGTACCTCAACCAATCAAAGACTAATCCCAAGAAGCACTCTGCTCACTGGACATGGCTCGAGCTTCAGCCAAAGAGACAGCCATAGCAAGCATCATCTGTTCCTCAAAACTCTCAGGAATAATAGGTTCCGTGGCACTTTGAAGGCTTCCATCAATGTCATCAGACTGTGGCAAAGAAGATAGTTCACCACGATCATCTGCTACAATAGAGTTTGTATAGCTAGTTGCTTGTTCAGTCATCTGTGCCCCTGTGTCCCATTCACTATGACTCCTAGTCATCGCTGCATTACCATCTGGTGGCTCCTCATTGAGGTCGTCAACAGGTGGATACCTAGTCATATCCTGACCAAGTCTGTTATAAAACCTTCTAGAACTTTGCGGTGTGTTGAATGATGATACGTTTTCATTGGTGAAGCTCAGAGATGATTCTCCAGCCATTTGCTGGCGCTCAGCAAGAGCTGCAATGGCACAGGCAAGGCCTCCAGATGGAGACGAGGATGATTCGGTTACGGCCGAAACATAATGACCATCAGCTGCGTAGTGTCCAGAAGTAGCATCAGCAAAAGATAAATTTCTCTGCCTGCCATTCTCCTGCAGTTTTAATACATGTAGAGTCGATCACAATCATCAAACAAACTGGACAACACAAACCATTGAGCAGTGTTATTATAGAATTACGTTCCCTGAACCTTATATGGCACTGTGGCAGTATATCCATCATCGAATTTCATAATGTGCATATAGTTAAAGTTTCAATGTGTACTTTAAATGGTGGATATGCTACCAAGTATAGACTACACACTGAACCCAAGTCTATATAAACATTACTTGAAAAACAAGCAAAGATCTGGATTCCAGAATATGGTTGCATTACCAATAAATCTCAGTTAACCACAATCATGTAATAGAAGAAAATCTTTGTTTGAACTTTCGAATTCTATAGTAAGCTGAAAGGATGCTAACTTGCATTCAAACTAATAGATAAAAACTGAGCTTTTTTAGCATGAGTAAAAGATAGCAAACACAAACCAGCAAAAATGAGTCTCATATGGTCATTTTCTTTCATTACAAAATAATTTTACAGATGGAAAAAATAAAGAATGAGGTACACTCCATTGGAAGAATTTACTTATCTTCATCTCTATTGCAGATATTAAGAGAAAAGTAAACTGAAACTGAACAATTCCATGATTGAAAATAAAATGATATGCAATTAAATGATTTAAAAACTAGTGAACCATTATACTGCAGATAAGCGGTTATATTCCATTGCAATAACATTAAATGATTAATAGCTAAGCTAACAGGTAGCATATAATGAAAACTTTTTACCTGAATGGAAAGCCAAATTGCTTCCATGACCATAATGTCCTCAAGGTCAACATCAAATTCATCGTCTCTGCAGTTTTCAGCATTTTGGAAAAAATTAAGGTAAGTCGAAGAAGTAGTTTTCCATAATATATAAAAGAACTCATGCCTTTATTTCTATGAACAGACAAGTATTTAATAAATAAGGTCGGACTAATTGATACAGATCCACACCACAAAAACAAGCAACAAAAGAGAATAGGGAAATGAAATATAAGATAGATCTGAGATTTATTGGAAAAAGAAAATACAGCAAGATAACAAATCTTACTGCCCAGAGCAAAGCTCCTCTAGAGTAACCAACAAGGTTCACTATTCAGAAAAGCAGCAAAAGAACCCACCCCCTTCTACCCACACCTCATACCAATAACAGAAAAACATTCCTCCTCCTCCCTCCCTCCCTCCCTCCCTCCCTCTCTCTTTCCCACTTCACCAGGAAAGCTCTGATACCAATTTTAGGCACCCAGACTTTATTATTTCCTCAAAGAACTCCAAAATAGGTTTCTCTTGAACCTATCAATACCCCCTCCATGAAGTTTCACCTTGTCCTCAAGCTGAAAAGCAGAAAACTCCTTATTGATGGCAGTAGCAGCTTCCCAATTGTTTTCGATGGGTGAGAGGTGTTTTCAACTGTACTAACTACCTTCTTTCTTCCTTATTTTGTAAACTGTCTCAAACCTATCAACACCCCCTCCATGAAGATGCACCTTATCCTCAAGGTAAAAGTCTAGAAATTCTTTATGAACACAAGTAGTAGATTCCCTTAACTCCTGATTTTCCTCTTCCGAAATAAGTAGCATATGAAGCTGTTTATTTTTGCAAGTATGATAAATAAGTAGCATATGGAGCTGTTTTTTTTTTTGCAAGTATAATTAGGCCCAAACTTCTCAGCACACCTCAAGCATAAGCCTTTTTTCATCTTATCTTGCAACAATGATAGGTATTTAGACCTATAACGAAATAAGCTTTAGAAACGGCAGATCTTAATTCCAACAATACAGTAGGTTTCCTCCAATGTGGAGAAACCAAAAACACACCTTCTGGTTATTCAAGAGAACCAAACTCTTCACTCCTATTCTTTTCAGAATTTACAAAATCAATGAAAAAACTGTCAAAAACCACCTCCTAAACATACTTTTATAATAGTCAGACACAACAAAACCTACACACAGACAGTTATAATTGTCTCTCCCATTTATTGTTTCTGATCTATTTATGAGCGGGAACTCATGACTTTGGTGCAGGCTGTTCGGAAATGAAAACATTATCTCATAGGTAGTCATTTTATGATCCTCACAGACCAAAGAAGTCTGAAGTTTCTCACATATTTGAGATTGTTGACCGAAGAACAGTTCAAATGGGACTTCAAACTAATTGGTTTTGGTTGAGATTCGTTTCCACCCTGGTAAGGACAATACAGCGGCTGATGCTCTCTCTCGCAGGTCTTATTTCATGCCTATTCTGATTCTACAACCCACCCAATGGGACTCATGGGAGGAGGAATCTCATAAGGATGACAGTATGGTTTCTTCGATACAAGATTTGATGATCAATCCTAGTTCTCATGCGGGTTATGAACTTCACAAGGGATTGGTTTTACCTACGTGGTCTTCCAGCTTACCTACCATTTTTAAAGACATGCATGAGTCCCCAACAGGTGGTCACAGTGGCTATTTGCACTTTTAAGTATATTGCTGGGGTTATTTATTGGAAAGGAATGAAGAGGGATATTACGTAGTGGGTACACAAACGTGAGATTTGTCAGAAAAATAACACAGAAACCTATGCCCTTGCTATTACAAGCACAGCTATCATCTGAGCTACCACAATTGAAGAGATGAACTACATACTACTCATGTACTGACCCATTAAACCATGACCCACCATTCTCCATAAAACAGTCAACAAACACCCAAAAAGATGAACTACACCATGTAAGATCAAAACTACCCACAACCACAACTTGCGGGAAACCCCAACCTGCAACCCCAAAGGTCTAAACCCAAACCCATGTCTCTGTTTACATCTTGCACCATATAAAGAAAACCCATACTACCCATAACAGCCCCAATGCATTCCCACGAACAAATAAAAGAATCAAAGGCCTCACTGCAACAACCTATGCTCACTGCGTAGAACTATTATTATTGAATCTGGGCATGAGTACAGTATGAGAGCAGCCAAGGGACAACAATTGTTAGGTTCCTAGGTAGAGGAAACCAGGAAAACCCACTGCAACCACCTATACTCACTGAATAGATCTTGTATTATTGATTCTAGGTGTTGAAGTATAATGTCTTTATTTTATTATTAATATTAATGTTAGGGTTTTGTTAGGGGCTTCCCGCCCTTTTATCTTTCAGAACTACTGTCTTCTATAAATACAGTAGTAACTTGTATTAGACTTTCTTAATCAAAACATAAGACTATTATTTTTCTCTCAACTTCAAGTTGGTATTAGAGCCCATGGTTCAGGCTTGGTGACCGGGCTCAGTCGAGTACGTCCCTCCATGATCAGGTGAAGCCTTGGCAGATGGCCAGTGGCAGATAGCCTGGAAGTGAATCATGAGAGATGGAGAACAAGAGATGCTCAATGTTTGACCATGGATTGTGAAAGAGAAGTGATGACCATGGTCTACTCGAGGATAAGAAAAAGACTTCCGCTGTAGGACAGTCCTTTGTTTGAGGGGAGGATGTTGGGTACAAACAAAGTCCCAAATCAGGTAAAATAAGAGAAGGACATGGGTTTATAAACACATAAGATATCTCCATTGGTAAGAGGCCTTTTGGAGTGGTACCAAAAACAAATCCGTGAGGGCTTGGCCCAAAGCGGACAATATCTTACCAGTGTGGAGATCTATGTGTGTGTGTTGTCCCTCTATCATTTCCGCCGTTCGCTCCGCCGTCGCCGCCCAACGTCGCTTTCTCTGGCGAAGTCAAGGGTTAGGTGCACCTTGAGAAGCGCAACCCAACCCTGATGATCCTGTCCTCCGAAGCCTCCGCACCAGACGCCACGCGCCTCTTCTTTTCGGCCCGTTCGCCGCCGCCGCCCAACGTCGTTTTCTCCAGCGAAGTCAAGGGTTAGGTGCGCCTTGAGAAGCGCAACCCAACCCTGGTGGTCCCGTCCTTCAAAGCCTTCGCACCAGCCGCCACGCGCTGCTTCTTTCCGGCCAATCTCGACCGCGGGTTCTGCACGCGCTGCCTTCCCGGTGTCGGAGTTACATCGCGTCACTGCAGATCGTCTTGTCGGGGCTTCTTGAGTGTGTTTTGGTTCCTGTTTCTCTGTTTCGTTGGCTTGGGCTCATACCTAGGGTTTTCTCCCTCGTGTTTTTGAAACCCTAAGTCCCATTTCTTCTCACACTTTTAAAATGGCTTCTTCTACTGGAAGTAATTCCTCTTTATCTGCTACCCCTATCATTACATCTGCAAAACTGAATTGGAAAAATTATTTATCATGGTCCTCTGCTGTGGAATTGTGGTTTCTTGGTCAAGGACACCATAATCACCTTGAACAAGATATTTCTATGGTCCCAGACGAAGAAAAATCTCAGTGGCAGAAATTAGAGTTTCAGTTATGTGCTGTTTTGTGGCAATCAGTTGAGCAAGAGGTTTTAGATATCTTGAGACCCTATAAGACATGCTCCTCTTTTTGGAAAAGGGCCCAAGATATTTTTGCTAATGATGTACAATGTCTTTTCGATGCAACCCAAAGAGAAACTTCTCTCAAACAAGTCAACCATGATATGGTTTCCCATGTAGCAAAAGCTCGGGCTACGGTAGAAGAGTTAAAGAACTTCTTTGTAGCTGATTCATTAGAAAATCTCAACAAAAAGCTTGACAAGTTTTACATGGTCCTAATTTTGAAAAGTTTACACTCTGCTTTTGATCATGTACGTGATCAAGTTTTACCTGGTATCAAATCATGTCGATGGATGGCTTAGTTACTCGACTCCTTCGGGTACCTACATTGGTAAAAGATGAGAATTTAAGTGATGCTATTGAAACATCAGCAATGGTGACACTGCGAGGAAGAGGAGGAGGTAGGAGCAATCGAGAAGGACGTGGTGGTCGAAGTGGACGTCCTCAATGATCATATTGTAAGAGAATGGGTCATACCCAAGATAAATGTTATTCCTTGCATGGCTTTCCAGACAAAGCTACTCATGTGTCTAAATCTGATAATTCAGAATCTAGAATTTCTAATGAAGAGTACCAAGAGTTTTTGAGGTACAGGTCTGAAAAATCTTCTAATCTTGGCCAATCCTCCTCAATGCCAAATGTTTAAACTGCCTGCATCTCTTAATCTGTGGAAGGTCATAGTCCATGGATTCTTGACTCAGGTGCCTCAGATCATATCTCCGGTAACATCCCTTCATTTTCTTCCATGTCCTCTCCGAAAACTCCTCATTTCATTATTGTTGCCAATGGATCCAAAGTTGCATCTCAGGGGATTGGCAAAGTTTCCTTATCTCCTTCACTAAAATTGAATTATGTTTTGTTTATTCCTCATTGTGCTTACAATTTAATCTCTTTGAGTCGATTGACTCGTTCCTTAAATTGTTATGTAACCTTTTCTGCTAATTCCTTTGTAATACAGGAACATGGTACGGGTCATCTAATTGGAGAAGGACATGAGTCACGAGGATTTTATTTCTTAAAACCTCTCCTCAGTTTCCTGTTTTAACTTCATCCCCAAAACTTTTGCATGATCGATTGGGCCACCAAGCTTATCTAAGTTGAAGATGATGGTTCCAAGTCTCAAACACATTCAAGTCTTAGATTGTGAGTCTTGCCAGTTAGGAAAACATGTTAGATCTTCCTATCCTAAAAAGTCTGAGACGCGATGTAATTTTTGCTTTTCAACTATTCACTCTGATATTTGGGGACCAAGTCGTGTTACTTATTTTGGTTTTAATTATTTCGTAACCTTCATTGATGAATTTTCTTGATGTACTTGGGTTTATTTAATGAAAGAGAGATCTGAACTTTTGGCAATATTTGTGTCTTTTTTTAATGAAATTAAGAACTAAT